TAATTCACCACCAGATGTCAGGGTAGAGCTCATCCTGACTCTGCTTACACAGGGTTGAGTGGGAGGTTTGTGGATTGCAATGGAGTCTAAAACTGGGTCTTAGGTGCTTGAGTACCTTTGTGGATCTTGGCCCCTTTATCTCAGTTCCCAGTCTGTAAAACGGGGATAATTCCATTGACCCAGTTCACAGGGGTGTTGTGAGAATGAATACATTCAAGATTATGAAGAGCTCAGACACTTCAGTAATGGGGGCCATATCAGTACCGATAGATAGATGGGTAGTACAGAGTTCGTAATTAAATCTGATACCAAAGATATTGTACACAACTTCAGATTTTGTAACAAAAGTTTTACACAACATAAGAACATTGATTAATTGAAGAGCATTATTAGTTACTGGGAAGGAAGGAACCAAGTGGAATCCTATAATAAATGGATAAATGGGGACAACCCCGTTTTGGTCATTACACAGTATCTGAACCACCACCACATCCAGATCCATAAACCACTGAATTTCCCAAATAACACAAAAAGAAAAATTTCCTCTTTCCGAAAACAGAGAAAATTCTTCCTGGCACTTAAATGCCAACATAGGTCAGTCAAGTTATAATTTGCTCTAATTATCTCTCTCACAAATGCAGATGAGGGGCAATATAAAAGGTGTAAAGTTATCATGGAATTATAGAAACATAGGGCTGGAAGGGACCATTCTATTCTTACTTGAGATCCCCCTATTTAAGGATTGCATTAGTCCTTTTGGCCACAATGTCACACTGGGAGCTCGTGTTCAGCTGATTATCCACCAGAACCCCATATCTTTTTCAGAGTCACTGCCTCTCTGGATAGTCTCCCATCATGTAAAAGTCTTGCCTACATGCTTTGTTTCTAGATGTATAATTTACATTCAACCATATTAAAAAGCACATTGTTTGCTTACGCCCAGTTTACCAAGCAATCCAGATCCCTCTGTATCAGTGAGCTGTCCTCCTTGTTATTTACCATTCTCCCAGTTTTTGTGTCCTCTGCAAACTTTATCAGTGAGAATTTTATGTTTTCCTGCAGGTCATTAATAAAAATATTAACTACTGTAGGTCCAAGAACTGATCCTTGCAGGACCCCAGTAGAAATATACCCATTCTGTGATGATTTCTCATTTATAATTAAATTTTGAGACATATCAGTTAGCCAGCTTTTGACCCATTTAATGTGTGCCATGTTCATTTTATATATTTCTAGATTTTTAATCAAAATGTCATGCAGTACCAAGTCAAATACCTTACAGAAGTCTAAGTATATAACATCAACACTATTACCTGTATTAACCAAACTTGTAATCTCATCAAAAAAGATATCAAGTTAGTTAGACACAAACCCATGTTGATTGACATTAATTATATTACCTTCCTTTAATGCTTTATTAATCAAGTCCCATAACAACTGATCCTTTATATTGCCTGCAATTGATGTCAGACTTGCAGGCCTATAATAACTCAGATCATCCTGTTTACCCTTTCAAAATA